CATTAGCCCTTACCGGGAGGGGGGTGGGGAAAACCCCCCCGGGGGGGCCCTTTGTTTTAGGTGGGGCGGTTGGGGGGGGGCCCAAGGGCAAAGAATTCAAACCCCTGGGCCAGGTTTGAAGGAGGATTGGGACGGGGAGCGGGGGGGGGGGGGGGGGGTGAGCTTCAAGCACGCGGGCTGTTAGCATGCGGAAGAGCAGGGGCAGCGGTAGCAGCACAAGCTCATCCGGATGTCGTAGGTATGAAGCTGGTTTCAATGTTTGCAGATATCGACGACGGACGCCATGGCACCGGGGCAGAGACAAGAGACAGAGGCACGGGAGACACTAAACTCACCGAAACTCCGCCCCTAGACTCGATGAGCTCTCCCCCGGTCCCGCCGGCCAGCGGGACCTTTGCGGCGTAGAACAGGGCTCGCGCCGCCTTCGCCCTCGCCGGAGCCACGCGCAGGCACTCCAGGAGGCCGTCCACACACCCCTCGGGGATGACCTTCACCAGGCCTACCCAGGTTTCCGGCGACGATTGCCTGGACGCCACGAAAAGAGAGGCCCCCAGCAGCTGGCAGGCGTGCGTGCATACGTCCAAGGGGACCTGGGCGGGACGGAGAAGGAGGGCGGGGTGGGGGGGGGGAAGCGGCGCCGGTCGATGGGAGCAGCAGAGGGGGGGCGAGTGGGGGGAGGAGGAAGCAACGGGGACACTCAGCGTGGGCACCGTGAGGTGCACCCGCATTGGCGACAAGTTTTTTCCGGGCAACCGGGGGGGCGGGGAAGGGAGGTTTTCGTGCCCCCGGGGCGGAGACGCACACCTCATATGCATACCCCGGGCTTCCACACCACCGAGCAAACAACGGGTATGCTATTCTATTCTGGTCTTCCCCGTCATAACCCCACCACACGGTAATAAAACACTTGGATATGCTACGCACACCGGCTCCGCAAGAGCAATGCTTCTGCGAAAACAGCCACACACAGGTCAAGCTCAGCGAGTGAAAGAAAGGTTTTCGGCCCCGCCTGCCGCCCCACCCCCCACCCCCCCACCCCGGGCGTGTCTACCAGGCATTCATACCTCCGTGGACATCATCGGAACGAGCGCCTGGAACACCGCGGGGGTTCCGCCGTGCACCCTTTGGATGGCCGACAGGGGGCCGAGGACCCCCCCCCCGCCGCCGTCGCCCCCACCCCCACCTCCTCCAGACTTCACCGCGTTTTTCGCCGCGTCCTCCATCGCGGCAGAGAGGTGCCGCACGGCGGCCTGCTTGTGGTACATGTCGGCGCCCGGAGTGGCGATTGCCAGGGCGTAGCGCGAGTTGCAGGAGTATTCGCCGGCGGCGATGTGTGCCGCGCAGGTCTGGCAGGCGCGGCGGGGCCGCTCGTAGCCCGGCTCGGAAACGTGCATGAGGAGCCTTTTGGGAGGGAAAAATGTTTGTACGAGTAAGCAAAGCAAAAATGTAAACGTGACAAAAAGAGAGAGGGAGCAAGATAAAAAAAATAGGTGAGCTAATAAGGAGGTACGTAGGTGTGCGCATACACGTGAGACTAAGCAAAGCAAACATGTTCGCGTGACAAAAGAGAGGGAGCGAGATCGAAAAAATAGGTGAGCTAACAAGGAGACATGTAGGTGTGCATGTGAGTTTTTTCCCTTGGCCCACCTTCTCCAAACCGGACGGCAAACAGCTACCCGTCGTACGCTGCCTAGCACAACGCGTCGCCACCCTTTTCCTACTGCTTGCATGTTCGGGGTGGCCGAATCGGAACACTTCCAGACCTACACCAATAAGGAAGCACCAAGAAGGGTGTTCAAAAAACGGTGCGAATAAGACCCCTTCCAGTGCAGTGTTGCGCTCACTTGGTCGGAGAACAGGTAGCGCACACAAGCTCGCCGCAGCAGCGGCAGTGGTGACGCCTCCGCAATGCCGCGAAACGCTCCCCGCAAACAGAACACTTTTTATGGGTATGGGACGAGGGGAACCGCGACGGGGGGGGGGAGGGGCAGGCGCGCGAAGGGGTTAGTAAAAAGTCTCAGTCACTTTTGTCCATTGACCGCGTACACCTTTCGAGGCGAAACACCGCTTGTTCCAGCTCGTCATGGAGACACACGCACACTCGAGCGCTCGGCAACGCGGGGGGGTAGGTGGGGGGGGTTGTTGGCACTCAGTACTGGCGAGGGGAGGGGGGGGTACTCATAGTTGTGCATGCCATACTATTTTGACCATTGACCTCGCATCCCTACAGAGCCGGGACGGAGCACGCCGGGTTCTCACCGGACCAGGCTCTCACATCACCAAGCGCGAAGCGCCGTGAGGTATTCGGCGAGTCGCATGGAGGGAGCGCTGCATCCTGCTAAGGGTGTTTGGCACTTGTACTTACTCTCCTTGCAACGAATAACAGCTGCTGGGGGGGGGTACAACGAGATATGCCCCTCTGCGAGCTTCTAACAAACCGTACACACAGACTGCACCAATGGTGAGGGGACGGGGAAATAACGCCTTTTGGCATGGAAAAATGCGAAGACGAGGGTTGACAGCCAGGCTCGCCCTCTTGCTTCTCCGAATCTGAGCCACCTTAAAAGATAGTATCAACGCTACATCGTTCAGAGTGCAGACCGACATTCCATGATGAACGCTCCAGGAATTTCTACCTCCTTGCTCTGCGCAGAGAAGCAGGTCCCGATATGTCGCAACCCCCCCCCCCCCCCCCCCCCCCCCAAAGGAAGTGTCCCCCCCAGGGGGTCCCGGGGTTACTGGTGTAGTTGGGTCAAAAAATGTTGTGCCCCGGGAAGGACTTTCCCCAACTGGGGGAAACAACTGGGATGTTTTAACCAGTAGGTTTTTTGCCCCCCCCCCGCATGGGGGTAAAAAAACACAAAACCGGACCCAAAGGGTTGGTTTTTGCCCCCCCGGGAGTGATCATCATTCGGGATTAAGTG